GTGGAATTGACTGATACTAAGGATAATCAATCTCCATTTACTCACACGTGCCATCTGTAATATGCAAAATAGCTTGAAAACTACAAAATTCAAGATCAAATGCAATGAGCTTTTTCTCAATCAATAATGCTGAACTGGTTCCTCATATTCGACCTAGATTTTGTTTCTAGACATTTTCGCTCAATTTTTCCTTTTTGCAATTGATACTAGAGTTTACTAGTTTAGACCATTGATCAGAAAATCTACAAAAAACCTACACTAATCACACAAAAATATGAAAATTTAAAAATTGAATCAATCACAATATTTTTGGACAAATTTCACAATCTGATCAATTTCACAATTAATTTAAAATTCTCAAGATAAGAATGAAATTTCCATTCAGACGTTTGCTCACAATTAATTTCTCAGATTGAACCGTATGTGATAGGACCATTTATACATAATTAATTATGAATCATGTCCTAAGCAGAATTAACACTTGTAGTGACAACATGTAAAAGTGTGTTTCAAACCAGCCACCATCTGAAATTGTCCCCATAGATATAAAAATATGTGTGCCAGACTTGAGCATTTATTTAATTTTCTTTTGCATGTTCATGTGATGAATTTTCTATATTCTTTTAATTCACAATTTTTTCAATTCAAGAGTTGACTTTTACACAGTTAGGTATCCTTTCTCTCATGATTTATATTCATTATCAAAAACGGGTTTACTAGTCTATGGTGGTAGCCCTCACCTCCAATGAACTTGTCTGTTTACACAACAGCATATTACAGTGCAGAGAGATATATATACTGACCATAGGTTTACACTTAAAACACATATCACTTTAAGATGGCAATCTAGTCAGTAAATGGTCACAACAATGTAGTCACAATGTCCTAATGTGTACTTATCTGATAATATTGTACCATAAGTTGAAGTGAGCTCACCACATTGATTAGATATTTTATCTCAATAATATCAAACTAACTAAAAATACACATCACGTGACAATTGCAAGAAAAGGCCCATTTTTTTTTTTTCATATAAATGCAAAACATATGGGAAAAAAAGTGAACACACAAAATCAAACAAAAAAAATTATCTACATCGAACTTGATTTTAATGTATCATGTATATGTCAACGGTTTTTTGCAAAGTTTCAAATCTGACAGTATCTAAAGCATTGGTAAGTAAACCAGGAGGTAGGTACAATAGATTTATAAGCAACATTAATAGTATAACTCCCAAGATAACTTTTACGTATCCAAATTTGCCTTATTCTAACCTTAGAATTTTGTTTTAAGGTGTCAGTTAGCAAGTTAACTCTTTTAGATTGATTCGATTTTTTCGCGTGTTAAACAGTGGTGCGAATTGTGTCCACACTGATCACAAATATTACATTTGATCGTGTGTTGTGACTTACCTTTTCGATATTTTACCTGTTTACCTGATCCTGTGATCCGAGATAGATTTTTCGAAGTAGTCAGAACATGCCGTCGAGTGTCTGTCAATGGTAATGTCCTGCTGATGGTAGGTCTGTCTGGCACTTTGACAAGAATTTCAGACTGCTGACTTAGTAATTTTTCAGATCCCACTGCTTTTTTTAATAAGCACTAGTTGAGTGGTTTCTTTTCCCTTTCATTTTCCTTCACATCGCATGCCAACTTTGTCATTATAAATTCTTCCATAGATAAATACCTCCCTAAGGCGGGCGGATCCAATTGTCTGTTGTTTGACTCTTTCTTTGGTATGATCTAATTTAACTTGAAGTCCCAACAATTCTTTTTCCTTTTCATTTACGATTTTGGACAAGGCTTCTCTTTCGGTTCTACCACAACTCTTTCTTCTTCAATGTATTGCATAATTGCCAATAGGGTAACATTTTTTTCTTGTTTAGCTTTTAGATATATTTTCAGAGTTTTGCATTTTGAACACGCATTGCTGGTCCCAGCTGAATCTGTATTCAGTAGATTCTGACCTGTAAGCGATAGATGTGATGTATTAGCATCAGACTGAAGGTTGACAGTTAGAGAGGTTACATGGTTGTCTTGAGTTCTATCCTCCTCATCTGAGTTTGAATCATTGTCCTCATCTTCACTCCAGGTTATGTTCATAGCTTTCTTGTTCCATAACTTCTTTAAGGTGTTTGCGCACTTAGCTGCTATGTGCTCAAATTTTTCACATTCATGACATTGGATACAATTTTGGCTCTTTTCCACATATGAGATAGGATTTTTCCTAGAGTTATTGAAGAACTTTTGGGGCAGCATAGTTTTTGGGCTTCTTCCTTTCTGATTGTTTTTCAAAAATTTCTTAAATTGCTTAGTGAGTATGGTCATCAGGTCATCATTCTCACTTTCATCATCTTCTCCTATATCTCAACCTCCTTGGTTTTAAAAGTTATTCTCGATCCTTTTTCCTCATTCCTTTTGTGAAGATGTAGCTCATATGCCATCAATGATCCTACCAATTCTTTGAATTTCATGCTTTCTATGTCATTGCCTTCAAGTGGAACCTATCAGGCAATGATCTGAGTATCTTTTTCACAATTTTGCTTTTTGCGTATTTCTTTCCCAAGGTGTAGGCCGAGTTGGCGATGTCACTTAGTTTTGCATAGAAGTATTTGAAGTGCTCATCATCTTTCAGCCAGTTGATCAAATTCAAATGTCAACATTTGGAGTTTAGAAGACTTCACAATCAAGGTTTCTTCATAAGCAACTTGCAATATGTCCCACGCCTCTTTAGCCACCTTGCATGCTGAAATCAAACGAAATTGATTAGCATCAATGAATGAGAAAACAACATTTAGAGCTTTAGAATTCCAATTAGCACTATTATAATCAGTAGTCAACCACTCATATGCTTGTTTCTCTCTTTCTACATCATTTTCAATTCCAGTGAGAGTTTTATAGCCATAAACGATTGAGTGACATGCTTTCTCATCTAAAGATTGGACATAAACTTGCATTCTTATTTTTCAATACGAATAATTAGTCCCGTTTAAGATATAAGGTCTAAACAGTGCTCCGTCAATTACTAGGTTTTATGTAGATCTCACTTTTTAAAAGTGAACCCTCTATGATATTAATTGTTAGTACTAAAACCTAGTCAATTAAACAATTGTCTCAATTATTCGTTTCAGCTAGAATACGCCAATCAGTCAGAATTTTGTACAGACAGTTTTAGGCACACTTCTGATTGATACAACTTAACAAATTTGTATTCTACAAGAAATAATCTATTGCGAAATTAAATAAAGATGAATACTAGATATAAAATGATAAACTACTAAGGGAAACATCCACGGTCCCTATTGCCACGGGTAAAATAATCAATTATCAAAGATTAAAAAATATAACAGTTTCGGTTTAGTAATTTTGCAAAATTAAATAAAATAATTAAAAGTAAATGAGGAACAACTCCCTCGTTTTCTTATTCCTTTTGACTTGTTGGAGAAGTGGAATCAAACTCTCTAGTCTTAACTTTATCGCCACTTCATTATTGTATTTGGCTGCAACCACCACTTGGATTAAGATTCGTCAATCTTAACTTACTCCAAATAGCCTGATCTTTGAGTCTGATTATATCATTCACGCACGTGTGTGTTTTCTTCAATTACGGTTGAAGAACACGATTTTTGCTTTGAGATACTTCACTGGAACATTAGCCAACCAGAACTCACTAGAGAATGTCAAACAACTTCAGAACTTGCTGCTGTAAGTTCGCCGGACATAGACAACTTTTTCTCAAAGCCTCCACACGTCCTTTTATGATTTTCTTTACTTAAGTAAAGACTCTTTAAGGCACGAACGTGTTATACCTAAAATATGGAAGTTGTGTACGATAAGAATAATATAAAATATGTTTGATATGATCAATAATTAAATTAGGGAAAGTTTTAATTTGTTAAAACAATCTTTCCTCCATTCAATTATTTAACCAATCAAACTAGTCCATTAAGGTAAATATATATATTCCTGTATATATATAAAATATGTTTGATATTGTCAATAATTAAATTAAGGAGAATTTTGATTTCTTAGAACTACCTTTCCTTCTTTTAAATATTTGGTCAATCAAACTTATCCAAAATGGTAAGTATATGTTCCTATATATGCTACTATAACGTAGGTAAATAATGCACATCGTTTAGAGTTGGAAACCCTAAAAAACAGTAGCCAAGAAATTGTTAACTTGTAACCCCTAGTTAGTCCCGACTGACTTACCTTGTTTGGACATAATTAGTTGAACACATTTTTGCCACATGTTTTGACATTTAAAAATCATTCTAAGAAAGTCAATAATTAAATAATAACAAAAACATCACAATCTATGAAAATTGTGTCAGTCGTGAACCTCTGAACAAAAAACAAATCTAGCATGCACACGAAGAGCGTGTTGAATATAAGATTTAAATAAATGCTAGCAACTTGGCCTTTTACGTGACATAATATAACACGGTTCAAATGCCAAGTCAAAACGTAGCGATTCTCCAAAAGAAAAAAAAATGGGCAATTTTATTTTTTCCAAAGAAAAAAAAAAACATGATAAACCTGAAATATGAAGAAAAAAAATCAAATATGAACATTTAGATCAGCATGGGATAGAAATGAAATTAATTTACAGATGGGAAATGACAGAAGGAAAGAACTTATGAGCAATACCAACCTTATCTGCCTCCATGGCTCTGTCATATTACAATCCTCACCTGTTTCTTAGATCTCCAAAATGCAATCATAAATACAAAGTTATATACTATTAATGCAGCCCTTTATGCAATGGAACAGCTTCATCTAACTTGTAGAGACACTTGAACTCAGCTCTTAAAAACTTTTCATAGGAACAACTAGAGTACACAAATAAAGGAGATGCAAAGATACAAGAAGAAAAATTGAAAGATGTTCATATAGAAAAAGAAGTTAAAATTTTCATTTGTCATACTGTCCAATTTGGCATGATGTTTTGGTCACAGCTGTAAGTGAAAAAATCTGTGTACTACAAAGAATAAATATCAATTTCTGAATGAACAATTAAGCAGAGGGCTGTGGGATTCTGCACGATTTAGTCGCTTCTTCCTATATCTCCATGCAACTTGTATTATTCTTGCTGCAAGGCCTCGCCAGTAAGGTGATTCATACCTGAGGAAATTTACAACGGATTTGTAACATGAGGCAAAGTATGTTTTCAAATAGATAATATTTATATTGTATAAAGTTGGAAATAAGTAAGTTACTCAAATCTAAGGGAAGTAACTTTGTTCACTTAAAGTAAAAAAATAAAGAAGTAACATATCCATACAGGTTTGGAAATAGCTTACTTCTAAGCTTGGCAAACATGCTCTATACTTATCCCGTAAATTCAGTGATCGACAACATTTCAATTCAAAGACAGCATAACTATAGTGTTAGTCAGGCTATACATAATGTCAAAATTTTTTATATTAGTTAAAAGGTTGTAATGATATTCAATAGGCTATATTGTAATTCTGCAAGGCACTACGTTGATTACAAAGAGATTATAGAAATAAAACAGCGGAATGGGAACCACGCAAGTTAAAATAGTATGCTTTCATATGATAATTAAAACCATTAAGCAAGGTCTAACTAGTTAAGAAATATGCGATGCCTCCATACTAATAATTAATTCCAAGATTCGCAAAGGACAGATATTACCTTATGGCTCCCCGAACACGCGGACTTCTTAAGAATCTTGCAAAAAGACTGGTGACTTCTTCAAGATCTGCAGCTCGTAGTACAAAAGCTTCTACATTTGTTAAGCATCTTACCAGCCTATTGCTCAATAACCTGTGTCCAGGGATCCTGATTTTTCTGCCATCTAAACGAGAAAGACAAAGGGAATGTTTAGTTTTGATTTTCTAAAGGATATTGAATATCAATAATTAACAAGATTCATAAGAAAGACGTGTTCAATTCAATAGGTAATCATTTTATGTTAGTATCTAACAATTATCACTTCTACGAGGTTCCTATGATAATTTGACTACTTTTTTATGGGATTCAAACCAAATTTTCCATGCTTAAAAGTGATTAAACAAGATTTTGTGCTCAAAGGTTTAATTCTTCACACAGCTTTGTTGGGCATCTGTTAATAGTAGTCTTATTCAGTAGTAAAGCAAAGGTTGAACGGGTATCATATTTCCACTTGCTACATTGCAAGTTGCTTACAGGAGAAACCAATACGTGCTTGCCACCTTTAAATGCAAAGAAATGTTTCTCCCCTCTAATATCTCTTTAAACTGTCATTCATTTGAATTCAATAATTCTTCCCGTCAATCAAAGTGCATTTGATCCAAAGACAAAAAATAAGGGGGGGATAAAAGGAAAAGTAAGAGATTAGTTGTAAGAAAATAACAATGAGATTTTATTGTAAATAGGTCCCGAATATAATGTTCTTAACATGAAGGAAACCTAAGCTTCACCAGCCAAAAAATAAAGCAAACAAGGGAAGTTACTAAAAGAGGGCACTGGTCGAATGTGTACCTTTATTCACAGAAGAATGCTCTAGGCACCATGTGAGGAGTTCTTCTCCACAAACATCCCCTTCAGATAAGGGAACCATGATCAGATCTTCCCCAATGCTCTCCATCTTTCCTCGGATTATAAAAACCATCTTATCAATAAGACCACCTTGATATAGGATTTTACTTCCTTTGATATATGTTTTTTGTCTTAGCCTCTCACACATGGCATCTATTATAGGTTCATCCAGCACTTGAAAAATTCGGACCTGTAATTGACAACATACCAGAAAACTCATCAGGAAATGTAGAAGAAGAACTAATATAAAGGTTGTGTTAGAAAAAGCGCCCCGACCACAAAGCTCAAAATCCCAATCACCTTACGCATGCCCAGGAACTTAATCTCATCCAAAGAGAGTGAAAATTTAACAAAAACCAAAAATAGCAAAAGAAAAACAAAAACACTAAGAAGCTTATTGAAGCTTTCTATCTCTTTCTTCGTCCTAGACAAGTTCCATGGTCTTTCTTTGCTTTCGTGTGATCTTTGAGATGCAGCATTAATATCCTGCAGCCATAATAAACTTCATCGTGTGTTAAGCTGAAACTTACTTTCTCAAGAAATTTAAAAAGATGACGCCGTATTTCTCTTTGTAGGTCTTCTGGTAAATTCTCCAATAGCATTTCTTCGTTTACCCCCCTGGTGGCAGCCCAATTAAAACGTTCTGCTTGTCGCACTTGCCTACATGGAAAAGGTACCAAAACCGTTGACTGCAATTAGTTCTCGAATTTTTTAACAAAAATGCATAAGACGACCGGATCACCACTACCAAAACAATCAAATTGAGATTTCCAGATTAATTGTTGCTATCAGACACTGATATAAAATAAATTATGAAACAGCAGTAGCAAGTGATTGATGCAAACCTCAAGAACTATATCCATAGAACTTCAATAGATGGAGTTAATCACAGAAGTGGTTCACCTCTCGGATATTAATTTAGCCAGGTTATCTTATCTAACAGTATTCAACCCAAGACATAAACAATTAGACTAAAGAGATCAATATTTTTGTAGGCGACTCATTTTACCTTTCCCAGGGTGAGGCTTGTATGGGTTTTCCATAATCTGATATAATTTGTTTACGAGTGAAGAAAATGGTAAATATTATAGGAATCTTGGCTGAGTTAATATCAGTAGAAAAAGGAATGTAAGCACGAATTTGAGGCCTGCCCGGTCAGCAGAGCAGGAATTAAGCCTCGGAAATCTTACTAGTTGGTAGGACTCAAATCTGAAGTGCTTAGCTCGTGGACCAAGTAACAACCTGCTCTTAGGGTCAGAGTGCATTAACGCTGTTAGGGATCATGGGTCTAGTAATGGTTCACCCTAACTGGGGCTGTAAAATTCAACACATCATGCTGAGCCCACAAAGATAGGAAAGCAGATGGGAAGCTAATGAGACAAGTACACAACAACTTAGCAGTAACAATTTAATGATGCAGAAGCAAAGTATAAGAAAAGCCATTAATTTTTTTATTACTGAGTCTCAGTTATGTGAGTTACAGTAAAGTTTGCCTAATTCATTAAAGTCATGCTTGCAAATTCAATCTACCCTCAGAACTAACACTACAAGACCTTTTCTGTGAACTCAAGGGAAATCTACAAATGAATGGGTTATCAGTTTCTTTTTCTTCCTCATAGCATGCCACATAGGAATCTCTAAAGTCATTTCATCCAAACACAGGCACAAAGTGGAATTCTGGATTGATTCCGTCTACTCAATTGGTTTAAGTTGAGATCGTTCCAGTTTGAGCTTTTAACTGATTAAACCATAATTGCAAAATGAATTAAGATCAAATTCATTGCGATGTGCACATGCTTATCAATAGACATTGGGTTGCTCCCATTTGACTCTTGGTCATATATCAATTTTGTTCTATTGAAACCATAAATTTTATTCGAGTGTTTGACCTCTTATTTTTATTTAAGAAGAGAAACAAACAAACAAACAATCAATTTAAAAGAGTGTTTGGCCTCTTCTCTTTTTCTTCTCTCATCGTCTTTCTTTCTTAATCTCGTTCTTGTTCGATTTTGTTCTATGTCACAAACACGGCCAAAGAGTGGAAAAATTAACAACCAGGTTGCAGAAACTACAGGCTATAATAATAAACTAACTTTGACATCAGCAGAATGAGGTATATGTTTAATGGAAAAGAGAGCCACGGAAAAAGGTCTTTCTTAAATTGAAAGGAGATGGAAATAAGACAGGAAAATAGAGATGGCACCTTCTTAGTTCTTCAGGCAAGCGACGATGTTTCATCCACTGCTCAACGTCACGGCGTCTTAGGGACATTTCTAACCTCCTGAGGCAGAAAAGAACATATATTTTTGTCAATCAAAAATACCTTAACTAGCATAAATAAGAGTTAGTGTTGGAAGAATTCAACTGTCACATTGATTGCACAATGATGAGTCATAAATTAGACAATTAGAATCCAGTAACCATGATAAAAAAAAGTAACATGTATCTTTGTGAAAACTAAAATTTCTACCTGCGGCCAAGAGCCTGGAGAAAATTATGCATGTTTCCAATAAGCAGAGCAAATAAAAGGAGCCCCACTCCAATGATACCCATTGTGAAAAGAACTTCCCACACAAAATAGCTTGGAACTTGATTCCCAGCCAGGGTACTAATTTGCTTTGTTAACCACCAAAAGAAAAAAAGTTGTCATTTTCAAGGAAACAAGTATAACCAACTTATAGTGTATGTTGTTGGACTATGACATGCTCAGCAAACCATGTTGTTGGACTATGACATGCTCAGCAAACCACTATGTCAAGGCACCAATAAGTAGTCAAATGCTCAAGCAGGAAAACCAATCAAACAACATAACCTCATATTTTATTAAACTACTTCGAACTATTCATGTTTGGCAGTTCCACATCATAACGAAAGTCTCACTATCTCGATCCAAGTAGGACTGCACGTACCAGTACTATAGACCCTTTAGTATCCTTTCTGCATCATCATTAAAATATTGGTTCTTTCGTTCAGTGGATTTGCGTTGGTTTATTTCAAATGTTTTCCACATATTTGCACAGCTTTAGGACCCTAAAATTGGTAGATCCATTAAATACATTTTAAGTTATGGATATGCTACATGTCGGATACCACATAGGTTAGTATAAGAGTTTAACATATAGTTTCATATTCAAGATTTTTCCATTTATATTATTTTGATAAATCAAACCAAACTGAATTTTAACTAGATCTGAAATACCTAAATCACATGCAATTCAGCTAAAAAACCGTAAATTGGGACTTGATTAGATCTAGGGAATTTCTTATTTGCCTCTACTCAAATCAAGATAACTAAAGGGTCAGAATCACATTTATCTCTGCTAAAATATAATAATATGCCTACAGCTGAGTCCCTTGGAAGCTTTGGAGGAAGAATGTGGAAGATTCAATAATCCATGCATAATTACTTGTAAAAACATACATATTTGTCTATTATCCTTGTTATTTATATTCTTAAGGTGGACATAACCATAACAAGAAATCTTTATAGAATTTTGATTGAGGATTTTAGTGTTTTTCTTCCTTTTTCTTTTTCTTTTCCTTTTTTTTTCCCGAGATAATGCACATAATACAAGGAGAATATGGTCACCCTTGAAAATTTATCGAAATTATTCATGAATAAATTACTCTTTTCTTTCCAATGTACTAAAAAGAAATCTTAATGAATGTAAAAATAATATTTTTGTTTTCAAGAAGATGAATTGTTAAAATAAAACCTTTAATTCTTACCTATTTCATGGTTATTAAGGAGAAAGAGTTGATTATGATTTCCTAAAAATTGAAATAGTAAAAATTTGTCATGTACTGAAATGTAGGTTGAGCTTTTGTCTGAAAATTGCATTATATGATCGGTTGATTTTTCGGAAAACTGAGTCCAAGCCTGATGTTTCTTGAAGTCTTAGAATGTAGACAGAAACAAGCACATTTTTCACCAGAATTTCTTCTAAAACTTTTAAAAAGGATTCTTACAACTTTTATCTCAGAACTTATTGAAATGGTGTAACTTTTCTTTCTTAAAAAGACTCTGTGTGCAGGTCACTGGACAGTCCCATATGTGAAACCAATTTCTTACAATCTTAATCTGCAAGAACCCTATGATAACAGCCACTAAAAAATATCTCTCAAAGCAAATCAAAGAATATGTTGACAAGTGTTAGCAAGTTAAATAAAGATATGTCGACCACAGCTTGTTTCTAATGAGGCATGTTTTCTAGTTTGAACTTGACCAATAAACTCACATAACGAATGTAACCAAGTTCTTTGAAGAACTGAATTCAGCTTTGTCCAACTAGGTTGATTTTCACTGCAAACATTATACATGTTTACTGCCACTTAAATAACCCGAGTCTAGAAATTTTATTTATAATTTGTAAGATTTTTCAGTGTTACTCCTGAAGATATGAATGGAAATGCATAAAAAGAACAACCTATTGTAGTATCTTTTCAAATTTTAGAGCAAACATCTGCAAAATAGATTCCAGATTTTTGTAGAAGTATACAATGAAGAAATTAGTATTCCATTCGAACAAAATTGAAGACAAGGTCACACAGAGATACCTGGAACCCCCAAAACAACGAGTACACATATCTTGTCACTACACTTTGCATGGTGGTCAGATTGACAGCATGTTCATAAATGCCATAGGGGAAACCATTTTCCCCAAAACAGGCGGTTGCATTTACATTGCCTGTCCATTGTTCCCATGTTGGATCATTTTCAAACTTCTCATAGCTGTTTCCATGCCCACAGTCAATGAATTCCATACACCTTTTAATGTTGGAGTCATGACAAGCATCTCGAAAACATTGATTAACTCTCTGCACAAAAGTAAACTGAAAAAGTTATTCAGATGAAAAGAAAGAGTAATGTAGAATCAATGGGAGGGAAAGAAGATGAAGAAGAAGGAGAAGAAGAAGCGTGAAGAAGAACAAGGGGAAGAAAATGTGGCAGCCGCCAATCATATTTTTATTCAATCATCAACTCTCTAAATTATAACGTCAGAACCATATAAATAGTAAAAACCTAATTAAGTGATGGATTTGGGCCACCCACTACTACAAGCCCAATAACAATAAAATAGAAAACATAAATTATAAAGCCTAATAACAATAAAATTAAATCTCGATGATGTTCGCATCAACTCTCTCGGGGTGGGAGAAAACTCGACCCTGTTGAGTGGATAAACTTCGACCACGGGGGACGGTCCTTCATAAGAACCAAATACCGAAACTCTATGCTTGATAGTAACGAAAATTGCAGCTTATTCCCAAAAATATGAACCGGCCAAGGGGGTCGATCTCTCCATCTAATCAAGTACCGATACTGGACTCCGAATAACAAACGCTCATGTCATGCTTCTTCAACACTTCCATTTGATTGTACATAATGAAGAGCATAAGAAGTTAGTATTGCAGATTGGCCTGTAGAGAAAAATGAGCGCAATATCGAAGGCTCAAATGGCCCCGATTAGTAAACAATTCTTTTGTATTGAAAATATAACTTTCATTGAAGTGAAATGGACAGTTAAATCGAAAATCTTTATGTGAATGATCCAAAAAGTTTTTCTTCACGTTTTTAGGAAAATGGATAAGAGAAACGCGCACTAAAGTATAGTAATTTGCAATAGGATACTCTTAACTTATATTGCACTTCGAAAGTAAGTTCAAAAATTTCATGATTGAAAATGATTTGACCTCTTAATTTGGCATGGAATTTAAGAATATTGTCAACATGATGATTAGCCAACAAAGTATGTCGATAATTAGTGGACAACATCCTAATGTTGATAGGAAGAATGTGCAATCGAATAATGATCTTAGAAAACAATGTGGCAAGCCGTGGAATCTCATGTAATTGAGAGAAAACTAAATCAAATTCAACATGAAAGTCTTGCAACCTAGTAGGCATGAAATCTAGGATATTTGAAATACTTGACTTTGATGGTATTACTTTAGGTAACTTCTCAACTATGTCAGTGTTACGTGTATCGGTTACAGATGCGGTCACGATAGGGGACACAATACATTGTTCACAACTCTCGACTTCTGTGACAATGGATGAAAGAACTGCACTATAAGCATTTAAACAAACTCCTAAAGATTTTATAGGTCGTGACAAGTAATGTTTGATCGTGTCCGCACACTCCTCAAAAAGTCTTTCCACCACACTAAATTTAGTAGGAGAACCCTCCCCGTGTTTATTTTGAACACTATCCAAAAGAAGGGTAATTAAATTTAAAGGAATATTGTCACTTTCTTCCAATGTAAAGGTCATGATAGTCTCTATTGATGTAAAGACATTCCCTAAATGATTTTCGTTTAAAGCTACAAGCAAGTGTTACAACATGTCAATTATCATATGTTCACAATCTAGGTCCAACATGATAAGGCAATACTTCGCATTAGCCATAATATCTAGTATCCTAACTACCGTAGCATACAAATTGATGGAAGTGCTCGTGAGAAATGCAAATGATAATATAATCGAGGAAAAATGTCTTGCATTATTTCATCACAGAAAGGGGGATTAGGTCTCTTGATGCAGAATATTTCACCAAGGCAAGAAACAACTGCTACTTGTATAGCAAAATGGGGATGTCTTAATAGTTTATTTGAGACCATGCTGTGCTAAGTGTATTAATAGATGTGAACATAGAAACAGCAGGCAATTGGTCCACTTGGGAAAGCAAATACTCAGTATATTCAAGTAACGATATGAGCTCATTAAAAGGTAATGAAGATTGAAAAAGTTTTCTTCCATTTGTTAACAAATGGATTCCTAACGTTTGGTATTCATGCCATAACATTTTTTTTTAATTCTTAAAATTGACAAGCTAAAACATTAAAATAAAAGTACGTGTTCAATATAATAAAATTGTTACCTCACGAGACTCAAAAGAGTACAAAAATTCCCCAATCATTTTTTCCATTTCACACTGCTACGGTGGCAATGTGGCAATGCGGCAATTGAATCATTTGAGCAGCTTTCAAACANTAATTGACAATTCTGTTAACAAAAAGGACTTAATTGAACATGTGTAGAAGTCAATGAGTGAAATGCAATTTTGTATAGTTGAGTTAGGTTGCCTAGAGTTTGAGTTCGAGTTTGGAAACAAGGAAGAAGCGGCACCGGAATTTTGCTAGCCTTACGCCTGGCCATCGCTCGAGCGATAGAAATAGAACCATTATTGTTCGCTTCTCTCCCAGGCGTCGCTCGAGCAATGAACCCTTCGCTAGAGTGACAATTCCACCTCGCTCGAGGGACATTGTTACGCGACTAACCCTAGTTCGCAATTTTGGAGAGTTTTACACGGCCCATACTACTCATACACCTCCAACTATAAATACAGATGCTCTTGCACGAAAATTGGTGGTTGTCTCATTGTGCCTCATTGGTATAACATATTCATATCATCTTTTGAGAGATTCAAGAACACAATTCATCGGTGGAATCATTCATATCATTCTTGAGATCCGTCAATCAAATTTTGGGAAAACATCAAGGTTCATGAATTCAAAACACCCGACTTCCTTAACACTTTGAGAAAGGTACTCTCTCGCTCGGACATTGGGAGAGGTGGACTGCAAGCACAGAAAAAGTACAATAATTGGAGATTCTTGAAATTTCACTTGGAAAAGACAATTGAAGAAGATCGGGAAGCGGGAAGAGACAACAGATCTTGGAAGCTACAGGAAGTAGATCGAGAAGTCTAGTGGAGTTGGCTAGACATCATCTAACTGTAGCAGATCGGGAAGTTGGTGCGTACAGCGGATCTTGGAGATTACATGAATTACAACAACGAGAACTAGTGGAATTTGCTAGGCTGTGTTTGAACGAGGGTTTAGTACAAGAATTAGAGAGAAGACATTAAGCTTCTTCCTCCCCTCTAGTTTCATTATATAGAAGAATTAGAGTACACGTTTGGTAACTTGGCACAAGAATGGAAAAATGGGAGGGAAAGAAGATGAAGAAGGAGAAGAAGAAGCGTGAAGAAGAACAAGGGGAAGAAAATGTGGCAGCCGCCAATCATATTTTTATTCAATCATCAACTCTCTAAATTATAACGTCAGAACCATATAATTAGTAAAAACCTAATTAAGTGATGGATTTGGGCCACCCACTACTACAAGCCCAATAACAATAAAATAGAAAATATAAATTATAAAGCCTAATAACAATAAAATTAAATCTCGATGATGTTCGCATCAACTCTCCCGGGGTGGGAGAAAACTCGACCCTATTGAGTGGATAAACTTCGACCACGGGGGACGGTCCTTCATAAGAACCAAATACCGAAACTCTATGCTTGATAGTAACGAAAACTGCAGCTTATTCCCAAAAATATGAACCGGCCAAGGGGGTCGATCTCTCCATCTAATCAAGTACCGATACTGGACTCCGAATAACAAACGCTCATGTCACGCTTCTTCAACACTTTCATTTGATTGTACATAATGAAGAGCATAAGAAGCTAGTATTACAGATTGGCCTGTAGAGAAAAATGAACGCAATATCGAAGGCTCAAATGGCCCCGATTAGTAAACAATTCTTTTGTATTGTGTAGAAAAGTAGGTTTGGCATAAATCGGGAGTAGAAGTTAAGTTCCTTCTTCCCCTCTAATTTCATTATATAGAAAAGTAAAGAGTACATGTTTGGTAACTTGGTACAAGAATGGAAAAACAATAAACTCTAATTTTACTCTTGCCTAATTGACTTGATTTA